AATATGTATTTGACCAAAATTATAACCCAATTTATTATTTTCTGAAAATTTATTTGATTTAAATTATATATAATAAAATGAAATATCAATTTTCAATTTCTTCATAAGTATTATCATTTGCTAAAATATTTCTAATTTTTTGAAGAATATTTAATAAATTATCACGAAATTTACTTGATAAGCCTCGAAAGTATGATTGATCTGAATTATCTAAAGATGGAATTAAAGAATTAATAATTGTTAAAATTTGAGATTTTGTTAAAGAAGTTTTAGATTGTTGAAAATCTAATTCTTCATATGGTATAAGAATGGTTGCAAAATACATAGTGAACTTTTATTAATTAATATTGCTTTAATAAATTGAATTTCTTTGTTTTGTGTAATTTCGCAAATTTTTTCATCTCTTTATTTAGCATTAATTCCCTGCTAATATTCTGAAAGATATGATTATTAGCATTAAAATTTACAAAATTTGTTTTCTTAATTAAACATGAAATTGGCATGATTCAGTAGTGAAATCAGGATATATACAAGATCCTCAAATCTCATTTTTAGAATATCCTATTGTATCGAAAAGATTAGCACATAATTTAATAAATTTAGTATAATTACATGCTGTAATTTCCCAATATTATTGTGAAGATATAGGAGGAATTAATGATTTAAGTGCTTTATTGATTTCTTCAAGCACTGCATTTAGATCTTGATGTTGATTTAAAAGTCTAGAATGTGAAATTACAATCCTTTTTTGAATTAGATTACAGATTTTAGGTTTTAGTCATAACATCTGTTCTTTATCTATAATTTTAATCAATCGATAAATTGGATGTCATTAGACAGTGTTAGCTTAAATGGTTCGTCGTTAACTTAACTAAGAGTATTTGCTAACAGGGAGTTTAAGTGCGTCTAAACTATGGAAGAAATAAACACGAATTAATTATGTTGAAGGGTCAGATCGTCTTTATCGATATAGATTTAAAGAAGTATGAAATTGTATATTGAGCAAAGATATAATTGTTAAGAGATAAATGTTATTGATTTATTAGAGAATTGGTAGCGACTTTACCGTTTATTAGGGCAGAAATACAAGATATTTATATAAAATACATTAATATGAAATAGATATTTAATATAGTAAAGAAATTAAAATAAGAAATATAATAAAAATAAGAAATTAAAGATATATAAGAAATCATGGATCGCTAAGATCGTTAAGAAATTAGAGAAATGATAGAAATCATAAAAATTAGAGAAAGTTAAGATCCATGATTGATGGGATCATCATTCACTAATTGTAATTGGCGCAGTATTAATGCGTCATAACTAGACTATCACTAACAACAGATCAAATAGATGCAAATATTTGCCTAATTGCAGCTCTTAATAAAGGTTTATTCATACGAATATCAGTACGAAATTTAATAATTGTCTGTAAATAAAAAAAATTTTGCTTATATTTTAGTTAAAATATGAAATCAATTTTATTTTGAGCCTAATTTAGGTAACCTTTAGCAAAAGGATTTTTTTTCAGAAATTATATATAACCATATTAGTTTAGAGACCATTACATGTCTATATATGTAATATATTGAATCCTAAGCCTTATGATGATCTGCACATTTTTTAAAATAACGAAGTTGATTTTTGGTTTGATATTCTTGATATTAGGTAAAGCTTTTCATATCAATATTCCAATTCAATTCAACAAATGCTTTTAGCATATTCATCTCTTTATGAAAAATATCCAGAACTAATATAAGCTAAGGAAAGTCTTTTTTCATTTTTTTTGTATATTATGATAAGATATTCTATCACAAACAACTACAACCTACTTATGATTACCATGTTTAATATTAGTTATCTTCTCAATATGTTTAAGAATCTTTTAGATACTAGTAATAAAATTTGGATTAATAGCTATCAGATCAGAAATAAGTATTTGCGGCATATAAACTTCATTATCTGAAATTGATCATTATGTAATGCTAGAATGCATGCTATGTTTTTTTTATTTGATTCATTAAATGTGTGAGAGTGAATAATTGATGGTTTTTAATAATATTTGAAATATTTAGTAATTCATTAGGCTGTTAACTTATCTCAGTAATTGTTGGTAGTTTGGCATTACAGTTAGAACAAACGAGTTTTTTGTTACCAATATTATAAGTCAGATAGCTTAAACATCTTTTCATATATTCTGCATGACTTTGACAATGTACTATCTCATTAATCGTATTTGTTTTCTAATTCTTCTCAACATGAAGTTTGTTTATTAAAGTTACAATATATTTAATAAGCTCATTATAGATTTCATTTTCCATATCTGAAGTTAAATAAAATAATTTTTCATATTACTTTTAGGTGAGTTCAGAATGCAATTAAGGATTAATATCAGTTTGGATAGTATTATTTTGATCATAAAAAGCAACAAAACTAGTAACTGTATGAAATATTACAGTATTATAATCACGATCCAAATAGTTCTTTTGACCTTTTTTATCAAATGCTAGAAATAATAAACCTTCTGGAAGTGATTGTTGTTAATCTGCTAGACTTTCTAACCAATTAATAAATTTTGTATAGCTTTCAGAACTGATGATATAATTATCAATATTAATAATGGTTTAGATTTTGCTATTAAATATTTAATTACAGAAGCAGTAAGATTAATAGCTAAACATATTTCAAATTTTTTGCCTCATAAATAGCATTAATAACTATCATGCACTTAGAAAGCTTTTCATTTTCAAGTTTGTTTCATTTTCATTACATACAAAAGATTCTATAAATTTTATAATAACTGGATTTCGTTTAGAAAGCATTCAGATATACAATATCTTAAAAGTCTATCTAGGCTAAATCATTCTTAATTATTCATTAAACTAATTATATCATCATATAAGTTTTTATGTTATTTTTAATAATTTCAACTATAGTATTGATTTATGTTTCTTGATTATCAAATCTAATATTTCATTTTTCTTTTGATTCTCCATTTTCAAATTCTAATTGAGCAATACTTTGCTTATATTTTTTTATTTTGAGTGACTCGAGCTCAAATTAATATCTAGTAAAATGAGTTATTTAATTATTTTATTTAATAAAATGTTAGTCTCGCCATTGAAGCATTATTTTTATTATTATTTTTTAAATAAATAACACTACTGCGGAATCTGCGGAATTTAATTTTATTCTTTTCCAAATAATTTTAAATAACTGAGTAGAAATGTTTGATTTTTTAAATTCAATTTTCTATCTCCCAATCATTGGAAAATGCCACACGAAAATATTGTATTTTTTTATTTACTATTTGACATGCCTCTAAATCGTAGTTAAAAGTTCTTAATTGGTCTTGGATGGCTTTACATTTGGCATTCAAAATTTAGTACTGATAGTCCAGATAGCTTGGTCTATCGTGGAAGGGCAAAAAAGGGCGAACCGCCTCATTTTCAGTGTAGAAAACTGAATGTGGTCTCGTCTCAATAAGAGACTACTTATTGCCCCTTTTGCAAGAGGTGTACTGAATGAATAGTAAAGAGTTTAACCATGAAAAATAATAGTCCAACATATGGGAACGTTTTCAGTAAAATATAGTCATGAGATATAGTAATCATATGATACGTAATGCTGGAAATGCTCCCATATGTTCTAGCAAGCAACAATTCTTCGAAAGATATCTTTATAGTGTGTTACAAAGTTCTGGACGGTTGTGTACCTTTCGAGAATAGCTAAGTAGTTATTTTATATTCCTTAAATTGTTTTTGGTTGTTTTCTTTGTCGTCATTAAAGCCAAAGTCTAGTTCACCAAACTATCCACTTTGGTGCGATACTCTTTTTCAATAAAATCACTTTCCACATTATGTGAGTAAACTCTCGGCAACAGGATTGGCAATTCGGAGGGGAGCAATCCCGTTTATGACTGCAAACTTTGGCTGATATTTTGTCCGATTAATTCTCGAAGGGGTTTGTTTTAATTTACCTCTATTCCTCAGAGTGGTTTTCTTTTATTGTATTCACATTGTTTTTAAATTAAAACTAACTTATAAAAATTGCTTAACCTTTCTTTTCTAGTTCGGAAAGGGTTTTATCTCTCCCTCCAGCATTGATAACATTCTCCTTTTCGATATTCAAACTTCTCTATTTCCATCCGGCCGGCTAATAATTGGGATCAAGAAAAAAAAAGATCATCAAAATATTGACATAAATTAATGCGATGCGGCTATAAAAATAAATATTTCTTGAAAGAATTAGGTTAAAAGTTTCATTTTTTTAGATGAATGATCTTTTCCAAATATACAAATATAAAGATGGTTATTATTATTTTGTAAACTAACTCTCCAATTCTCCAAATCCTAAAAGTTTTCATTTTTCATAAGTTAGTAGTAATCCAGCATTTTGTTTATCCTCGGTTAATCGTAAATTTCATTAGTAAAATTTAAGTGAGTAAGTTTCCTTTTCAGCTATTTAAATATTCTCTCACTTTCACGCTCAACAATTAAATCTAATTTAAGCGTTAGATGCGTCATTTCACGTGACTGCATTAGTTCGTTCTGACTTGATCCCTTTACACGTTATCAACTTCGTAATCTGAATTTCGTAATAATGTTAGGATCGCACAAGGATTTGGATATAGAAGGGATGCCGTGATAAATTGCATTGGTATCTAAGCACGTGCTAATAAAAAATATTCCTAAATATATTATATATTCCCATAGAGCAAAAAAATTAAATCTAAAATGCAAAGTAATTATAGCATCAAAATAAACTTTTTTTTATCAATTTGTAAATCCATCCAAAAACCCCGCAGGACTTCAAAATTACAAAAAATTTTATTCCAAAATTTGTAGCAGCTTTCGAAATTTAATTAATACATCATGGGATGCGAAGGTTAATTGTTGTCAAGTTATTCGTCGGAAAGATTTTGGTAAGACCCGGTAAATTAAGTAATGGAAGTTTGATCACAGAGCTAATGTTGCTTGAAAGTGTTGAGATAGTTAAAAATGGCGGATATTCCAAATAGTGACGAGTTTAAAAATTACGTGCATGTGATTTTGATCATTATTTCGTTAAAGTTTGCAAAATGAGGTTTATATGCCATTGGTTTTTTGCTTTCGGACATTTGTGTTCTAACATTTTATACATTGATAATCCATTATCTTTTTGGTAATGTATTAAAAAGTCTTAAAAATTTAGTGTAATATTACTTGAGATCATTGTACACTTTAACCAACCTTTTTTAGGGATGACGGTGATTTGTCAAATTGAAAATACGTTAGATCGTCAGAATCATATGATCATGTGCTTGCATTTTAAAGAATACTGTGTAAATATGGCGTTCAGTGATAGTTCATTGGAATGATAAAATAATAATTGGGTATTTGATTGCTTTTTACAAAAAAGAAAATAGTTCCATCTGTAATTTAAAATTCACCATTTACTTTCCTTTTTTTTATAAATCTTGCAATTCTTCTATCCTTTCATAAATTACGTAATAAATTTTTATTCTTTGCTTGCAGTATTATTATTCATTTTATCGTCGCATTCTTTTTTTAATAAATTTATGGCGTGCACCCTATTTATAATTCTTGTTTTGCTGATAAATGACAATCTACCTCTTTAATTATAATTATTTTTTTCATTTTTAAATTTTTTAAGTAGACAATCAACATTTAAAATGGATCCTTATGTTAGAATTGAAGCATTTTTCGATGAAATTGAAGAACCTGAAGCAAATGAAGAGCTTTATGTTTACAATATTGTTAGGAATCCACAAAATTATTTTGATAATGAATATTTTGATGAAGAAATAGAGGAAGACGAAGGTGAAGAAATAGAAGAAACAGAAATAGAAGAAACAGAAAGAATAATGCCAAGAGGAAGATCGAGAGGAAGGCCAAGAGGAAGACCCGAAGGAATATCAAGAGAAAGAGAAGAAGGAACATCAATAGGGACAAGAAGAGGAAGACCAAGAGGAATAGGAAGAGGAAGACCAAGAGGAAGAGGGAGACCAAGAGGAATAAGAAGAGGACAAAGAGGAAGAGGAAGAGGAAGGTCAAGAGAAGAAATAGAAATAAATGAAGAAATTGAAGAAGAAATTGAAGAAAGTATTGAAGAAGAAATTGAAGGAAATGAAAATAATGAAGAAGAAAATGAAGGACTTCCATTACCACCATTATTTCAGAAATTTAATCATCATAAACCTTTACATCATTCTTCTCTTAATCTACCTTTTAATTTACAACAACTTGATTCTCTACCTGAATATTCTATTTTTTCATTATTTTTTTCTATTGAAATATTACAAGTAATTGTTAAAAATACAAATATATATGCGTCAATAAAAAATGCCGGTGAAGGAAGACCATGGAAACCATTAACCTTATCAGAATTACGCATTTGGCTTGGATTATTAATATATTTTGGAATTTTTAAAGCACCCGCTATTAGAGATTATTGGAACAAAAGTGATCAATTTCCAATACATAGAATAACAAATTTTATGTCTTCTTTACGATTTGAACAAGTATGTATTTATTAATTTTAAAATAATAAATAAGAAATTTTATTGAAAAA